ATGGGTGGCTGGGGAATTCTGGGAATTGAAGTCCACACATCTTCAAGTTCTCAAGGTTGAGAAACACTGCCTTGGAGGAACACAGGTTGCCTATCCCTTTTAGAACCTTTGCTAGAATGCAAAGCTGCATGCAGTGGGTTTTTTTAAAAAATATAAAAAGGCGAGTTCTCAAATTAATTTTAAAAATGACATCTGACTTGGTATACACACCCCATGTCCGTCACGTAGGCTAAAGGTTACTTCATCTTTTTTAAAAAAGAACTCACAACCACAAATCTGCCATTCTGCAGCAAATGTAGGCACTAAAGCAGAGGTGGTTTAAGGCAGGTCTGTCCAGCTCATGACTCACAAAGCTCACGTCGACCACAGACCAGGTTTGGTGGCTACAGTAGGGAAGGGACTCAGCAAACCTGTTGGTTGCTTGCCTGCGTGGGCAAAATTCAGGCTCGGTTTGGTGGGTCACAAGTTGTACAAACCTGACGTAGTGTAGAGGGAAAACAATGTAGTCTGACCATATTTGCCATTCGTGCAGTCAAGAGAAAAGCTAAGTACTTCAACATTGTTTTGTCCAGCATTTTTATCCCGGAGTGGACCAGTGCATAACCTGGAGGAAAAGTTGTACTACTCAGAGGAAAAAAAAATGCTGTGTAGTGGATCTTGCATTCCTGCTATTAGAGTTGGAAGACCCAGAGTGACATCTCTGTGCATCTGCTGAGTTAATCTTGGGTCTTTCTGTGGGCTCCCTGTCTTTGTGGTTATGTCACTGTGAATTTTAAGGAGAAAGGAAAACGTAATTGACATGTTGCACTAAGGCTTTGATGAATAAACCATAGTGGTAGGGTTTGCACACTGAATTGTGCTGCAAACTCTAGCTTACTGAAGCACAGAAGTGGTTAGGTTCAGAGAATACACTAAACCAAAAACGTATGAGCTATGTTATGGCTTAGTTCACTCTGTGAACCCAGGAAGAGGGCCTGGGGGGAAGAGAATGTGAATCTCCTATTAAAGAGAGATGTAGCTGCTTGGGCAGCTGAAAAGGTGTGACTAGATCAGCTTTCTCCAACCTGGGCAACCTTCTGATGTATGAACATCAACCTCACAGCAGCTTCAAGCTCATACATATCCCCATCCATTCCTATATCACACCACTCATTCCTTCACAAAGAAGCTGTACAGCTGCTTTCCAAATAGAACAAGCATACCTGGAAACCCTGGGGGGCTTTAGATGATGGTCCTTGGGACCACTGCATGGCAACCTTGAGTGGCTGCCCCCCCCCACTCCCCCAAATCAGCAGAACTAAGATCTCTATATTGGTTTTTTTTTTTTTAACTGCTTCTTCCAGCTACTTTTGCTCTACACGATAAAGGCAGAAAAGCGAATGCCAAGATGGAGTAAATTTGCTGGCTTCCGACCAACAATGAAGGAGCACTTCAGCACTAGACTTTATACCTATAATCATCTTTTAAGGGCCTAACAGCACAGCAGCACTAGTCCAATCAAGGGCATAAAAGTCTATTGCTCTCAAGAAAAACAAGATGTTCAAGCTTGTTATGGGAATGGACAAGGATGCTCAAGAAGAGAGGAACAGACAAAATTACAAAACAGGAGAAGAGAAACAACTCATCATTTTGATATCACAACAAACCCCTGCCAGGCTAGGAAGCCACTGTCTCTGGCGCTCATCAAATCAAGGCAACTACAAGGTCAAATTGTTATTTGAGCACAAAAGAACAGGCTGCAAAGCCAGCCCACCTTGGGTCGCCAAGCTTATGCAACTTCCACTCACCAAGTTGAACTCAACCAATGAGTGGTTTTGCTAGTTTTTAAGGACAGCCAGGAATATGGGGTGCTAGTGTGCAAAACTGTCATTAAAAGCCTGGCAAACCATAATGGAATACTGCATATGCCTCCTTGGACTTCTTGTTTTACATGTCATGGAACAGTTTCTGTGCTTCCCCAAACACCTTCTTGTTTCACTTCCCTTTCAAGTGAAATAAGAAGACATTCAGTCCTGGAAAAACCTGTCCACCGTGCCACCAAAACCACCCTGAATGCAATCGTTCAAAGGGCAGTCCCAGCGCAAGCCTCAGAGACAATACTGCCAGCACGTGTTGCAGAGGGAGATAAAAGTAGCCTTGCTATCAAGGCCGTGTGTGAACGCACCAAATGCTTGATTACAGAAATGAGGGATGCTTTTGAAGGGATCAAATTGCTTTGGGCTTTTTGATTTGAGATGCCTGTTTCTAGAGAGCTTACTTGTCCTTAAAAAGGCATCTTCTTTCATCTCTCTGGGGTAGATAGGCAGTTGAGGCTGCTCTTCTGAGTATATCCAAAAAGACTGGCTATGCAGCCACTGTAGTAAAAGGAGGCTGCCTAACAGGAGGCACACAGCCTTTCCTGAATGTGCAGAACAGATTCATGTACCCCCTGCACCTTGCAGGTGGGCGCTCATATACACATTAGGGCTTTTGCACAGTGCCCAAGCCGTACATGCTCAACAATACTATCAAAACAAGGGATACACACAGTGGGTTTGGACCAACGTAACCCATGCTCAGTATTGGTGAACCCCAAGGCAGATGTGAAATCCCACACAGAAGAGGCAGGCACCTCTTTTGAATCATCAACAGCCAAACCATGTTAACCCTCTACACTACAAATGCATAAATTGCATTCGCTGTGTTTCTAACCTCCCTCCCCAAAACATGGGACTTTCAAAATGAAAACTACTATGATGCATAGCTGGTTTTGGAGATGTGAATGTGGAGGATGGGTTCAAATACCCCAATACCCGATAATGTGCTACAATTCACATACAGTCCTGGTTACAGAAGCACCATTTATTGGCTATATCAGAACGCCACTGATTTGGACACAAAAGTCTTCTTGCTAGCTTGCAGTATGCCACAGCTCCCCTTTCTAGAGATGGTCTCCAGACGACCCAGACTTTTCTTTTCTGCAGCTATTGAGGCAGTGTGAAAAAAAATGTCAAGACATCCCACCCCCACCCCAAATCCTTTCCTAAATAACGGATGATTTATAAATTAAATTAACCAAAATTTAAAAAAAATTAAATTAAAAAGTACTTTGTGGGCACAGTCCCAAAACATCCATGCCTCCATTTTCAGACTCTATCTGCCCCCAGGCAAGTGTCTCCTGGGTCATACTGTCAAGTCAAAAAGCAGCTGACCGAGTGGGGCTTTGCAAATTTTAGGCAATGAGGTTGTTCCCCAAAAAAGCGACTGAACCAAACAACTGCCATGAGAGCCACGGGGAAGGTATTGCTACATTTATGAGGTTCTTTTTGCTCTACTCATTTCTCAGTGTCAGCTTTTGTCAAAATTTAACACAGCTGTGAAATAGTGTTACTTTCTGCATACAGTTTGAACTGTCCTGTATAAAGAATGTTAATCTTAGGTCACTGTCAACCAAGCCTGTTCTTTTCCTGGCCTTTTAGGTGAGCGCAACTGACTTCTCAAAGCAGCACTGACTCATTCATAGACAACCCATCAGCTTGGTGTCTGTAGTGGCGGGCGGGGCCTGGGGAACCTGGATACTGGTAGGAGGGTGAGCCAAGTTCCCCTGAGGCTGTCCTGTATCGCAGAGGTCTATCCATGGAAATGGTGGGAGGATTATGGTCTTCAAGAGGCATAGGCTGGAATGCTGGATGTTTCTCAAAGTTACCCAACTGACTTCGGCTACCATCTCCACTCCAGGATTGCTCATATGCTCCCTGTCTGTAAATTAAAGCAGGATCTGACCATTTTTTATTATCTGGCAAATAATCTACTGGAGGAATTGCAAGATGGAGGCCTGTTGGTGACCTGGGATTGCTTGTGAATGTCTCATCTGGGATAACCTCTATTCGACTAGAAGGAGTCACAACGAGATTTTGATGGTGGGCAGAGTAATTTCTGTGTGATTTATCAGAAAGCAACTCTGTTGGAAAATCAGGGATATACAATTGAGTAGTGGAGCTGGTCCGAGTCCCATGATTGTACTGTGTGGCTATGAAGTTAGAATGACTTACTTTGGTAATGTGCTTTGGAGAATACACATGGTAAACAGGTGGATTATTATAAGATGGTGGTGGTAGTTTTATATGAGGTCCAACAACTGATCCATCAGATTGGGATGAATATCTGGGGAGTCTTGGTTGTGAGCTGAAGGCATAACTGTTGGATATTTTTGGTGGACTAGATCCTTTCTCTACCTGCTTCCTTGAGTTGCTGGAGTAAGCTGTGTTTCTTGGACTTTGCAGAAGAACTCTTTCTGGTGCCTCCTCTACAAAATTTTCCTTCTCCAGATCAGCATCAGGAACGTTGTCATACTGTGATGCGTTTGACCCACGCTTACCTTCATCAGCCTCCCAAACCCTAATCTTTTGCTTTAGGTTGAATGGCTGAGCTTCATCATCAAGAGCAGGAGGTGTTCCTGTACTGCCCTGGCTGGGCAATCTAGTCTTGATCTCCATGGTGATTTTTGCAGTTTTTTCAATTATCTTCATATCGGAAGGTTTAATCCATCTTGGTACAAATTCTTTCCCTGTAGATAATACTGCATTGGAATTTTGGTTAGCAGCTACATTTTGCTTCGGTTTGGAGTCAGCCTCTGTTTGCGTTTCAGCCTTTTTTCTGTGGTTCTCCCCATCATGCTTTGGCAACCCACTCTGCATGTTTACCGTCACAGGCTTTTGCTCTCTCAAAGTATGCTTCTTTTCCAGAGAACTTCTTCTTCTTTGGCGGTTTGGTGAGCCTTCTCGGCCTCTCTCTGCAGGCGCTGTTGGTGAGCTTTCTTGGCCTCTCTTTGCAGGGGCTACAGGTGAGCCTCCTTGGCCTCCCTCTGCATACATTCTTGGGGAGCCTTCTCGACCTCTCTTTGCAGGTGCTGTTGGTGAACCTTCTCGGCCTCTCTCTGCAGGTGCCCTACGTCCTTGCCCAGTCCTCTGGCTGGCCCGGGCCCCCTTCAATACACTAGTGTTTTTCTGTCCATTGACTAGATGAGTGAGATTTAGCATGGCAGGTTGAATGTCAGGTGGAATTTTCCCCAACTTCTTTGGAAATTCATCATCTTTACCTAGAAGAAGAATGAATAAAATTAGCATTTAATATTACACCACTTAAATGTATTAATGCTATTTATTAGCTTTATAAGGCCTCCAATCATAGAAACTTGAGGCAGCTTACAATTAAAAACTCAACAAATAACAACATCTCACCATGACCACATAGATAGATTGGCCTATTTTTTACATAATGCATTGTAGTGTATGAAATACATAAAGAGAAAAAAACAGTGCTGGAAGGTTCAGAGATAAACTCAAACCTTAGAGGTTAAATGTTAGAGTTGGTTTTATGCTCAAATGCAAACAACACCCCCCCCCCGATGGTGACAATAACCGCAGTCAATATGTCTGATTATCAAAAGCACTCACTCAAGCAAGCAAGGATTTTCTGGGAAATGCAAGCCTTGTATGATCCAAAATATATCGACTGGATGTTTTCTATTAAGTGGACAGGTCTTGCTTCCCTGAAACTGCAGCAGATCAAGGCTTAATTTTAAAGACTACTGAACCCAGTTTCTGAAACTTTGGCATATTCAACAATTACTTGGGAGATGGAAGTGAGAATTTTCAGTCTGCTGTGAATTTTATATACGTGCATCTTCTTCTAATAGCCACAGGGATGAAACAGAATACTGTATGAACTGAATGATATATTTACTAGAAAATCATGACCAGCTTCAAATCTCTCTCTCCTGCTCTCTGAGAGCAGACTGCAGAGCCAACTAATTTTCTCCCAAAGAATTGGGGGTGTGCGGGCTTAATCACTATGCTCCTTCTAGAACTGGGTGTGACCAAGCTTCTGCACTGCAAAAAACAACCATCTGCAACCCCTGCCCTTTCTGTGATTTCTAGCAGAGTAGGCGCCCCCCGCCCCCCGC